AATGGTTGTTGTTGGTTACTTTAGTAATTAAAAATTATACTAAAATGATTACATTTAATAATAACGAAGAAAAGCTAGTCGGCATTTTTTTTCCCGGGAAATTACGGAACTACTCCCGGGATTTCGGGATGAGCAATTTTACGAAATCACGGGATTTCGGGATTCCGGGATCCCGGGATCGCCATCCCTAATCTTGACTTAGAAAATCAATTGAAGTTCTTAGAGGATAATTAAGCTCAAATTATTTGAAAAAATGCTCAACTTAACCACAAACTACTTTTTAGTAGCTTTTTTCATAACAACTTACTTGTACCAGAAGAAACAAAAATATTAACCACGATTTCAGCTGAAAATAAAGAAAAATCTAGAAGTTTGATTCTACACAGTCTTGATGAATTAAATTAATCAACTGAAGAAAATATACAAGATGAAAATGAGCAAATAGAAAAAATCTTTAATCATTTGAAGATCGATGAATCATTTATCAAACGACACCACCGCCTAAAATCGAAAAGCAATAAACCTTGTATTGTAGTAGTACAGGATGTATACTTAATTTCTGACCCCCCACATGTTACAACACACAAGATTTTGAGTTGCTCTCTTAAATGCTACTTTAGGCCAAAAAATGCTATAGTATGTATTTTGATAAGACGATGATGATAGATGATAAGACCATCTTTCCTGTGAGAAATAAAGTTATTCTGATGCAAGATGGAGCAACTTGCCATACGGCAAGAGCAACAAGGAATGTAATCAACAGACACTTTCCAACAGTGTGGACCGACTGGCCTGGCAACTCGCCCGACTTAAATGTCATCGAACATATTTGTTCAAGACTCCAGGACAGTGCTTTACACAATCCTCGACCTCGTAATCGTGAACTGTTGATCAGACGTGTTGAACAGGAGTGGGCTGCAGAGTATGAAAGAAAAATTATGATCAATTCACCAGATATCATACTTATTTCTAAAACATGGTTCAAAAATGATTTAATTAATATTAACAACTCTAATACTTTTACAATAATAGAACAATTAAATAAGGTTGAGATGTAATTTTTACAAAATATGATATAATTGCTTATGAAGTATCAGTTTCACCTTTATATATAGAAGTTGGACAAATATGGTGTAGCATTGTACTTCATAAAAAAAAATATTAGTTGGATGTATATACAGACCACCAAATAGTACTGACTAAATAAATTATGCTATTTTATGAATCAATAAAAACTGCAAAAAAGAAGTAATGAAAGGAAAATACTCAAATGTAATGATCGCTGGTGATTTTTATTACCCAAATATTATTTGGAACGAAGACGGAACTATCGAGCTCAACAAAAACTGCCAAACAAGCAGAGCATTTATTAATAATTAGCAAAACAATTATTTACATCAATTAGTTAGCAAACCAACTTTTCCAATGGCTGTTGATAAACCAGCAAATATATTAGATTTAATAATATGTTACGATCTAGATTTAGTAATCAACATTGAATATGATACTCCATTTGGTCAAATTACTAAAAGCCATTACATACTAAAATGGGAAACTAACTTAATCAATTCATATAAGAAACAGTTTAACAATAAGAGAATTATTTTTGTAAAGAAAAGTACAAAGAAATGAGTAACATGTTTTGTAAAGTAAATTGGCTTAAAATCTTTGATAAAATGAGTACAAATCAATGTTATGAAAACTTTTTTAAATTTATGAGA